CCCCCCCCCCATTTACTAAATAAATAAAATTGACAAATCTTTGATGAAAATTAACTTTTTTCCAGATATTTCTGGTTTCAAACCCAGAATCTCCTTGCTTCTGTTTTTCTCCAAAGAGAAGTGTGTTTTGCTTTCTGCTTATATAGGCTTTGGAGGATGTTGCAATTGCATGCAAAGCACGCTCCATGACAGACACCTGAGAACACGAACAATCCTTTGGATTGCGTTTTCTTCAGCTAACCATCTGGGGCATGTGTCAGACTGTTAGCATTGACAGATGGAACCCTAGGCAGATACAAAATTTGTATCTGCAAAAGGAGCTGTGGATATCAGCATTGCAGGAATCTGCATCCTAGATGTCAGATTCCTGCAGATATACAGTGGAGAGCCACAGATTTGCAGGACCTTCTAGCGGGAGGGAGTCTGTTGCTTCATGGTGATTGATTTGGTCATTGAGGGGGAAAACTAGGCTGTGAAGATACAACTGAGTTTTAGAGAATGGGTGTTTTTTTTTTTTTTTTTTTCCCCACCGGTTTGCAGGGCTACAAGGGCAACCAGCTAGTCCAATAATCTCAGATGCAAACTGGCTGGCAAGACAAAACACAAATAGGTGTCTCCTTTTATAGAAAGAGATTCTTGCTTGAATGAAAACCACAATGAGCTTTTCAGGCAAAAAAAAATGCAGCCCATCCCTTTCACTTGTTTGTGCAGATTACACAACCCTAATTTTCTAGCCATATAACCCACAGAAACGAAATGGGATCATTAGATGGTCCTCCCATGTGTAGGATTTGAACCTTCGATTCCTCTGTGGTGAGGTGGAATATTGGATATTTGGAAAATCTATTTCCCTAGTAGGGTGGGGAAGCACTGGGATGGGTTCCCTAGGGAGGGGGTGGAATCTCCATCCCTAGAGGTTTTTAAGTCCCAGTTTGACAAAAGCCCTAGCTGGGTTGATTTAGTTCGGGTTGTTCCTGCTTTGGGCAGGGGGCTGGACTCGATGACCTCCTGAGGTCTCTTCCAATCCCAGGATTCTAGATGTGAGCATCATGCTCCCCAACTTAAAAAGCTATTTACATAATACCCTAATGCCCTCTCCCATGGAAATGTATAACAATCTCATTGATTTCAATGGGAGTGGACTCGATTCCATGTTTATCTCTGTACCTATTTTATATACCTTTCCCTCCCCCTCCCCCTTTCCTTTGAAACCTGCCTGCTTTGCTTTAATTTTCTTGATAGCAAGTTATTCAGTAGCTGTCCTTCTGGCAAAGGTGGGGTTTACACCCAGTGGTGCCTTTGCCTTTTAATTCATGCTATTAATTAGCCACACAACTTCATTAAAATAAATTATGGGTTCTTTTTACCATCAGACAGCACAATTGGGAGAGAGGTGTGATCCAGTGTTAAAAGCAGAGGACTGGTTATTTGCCAGTTCTGTTCCAACACCTTCAGAGGTCACGGTCAAGTCACGTTAACTATGCCACACACATCTGTAAAATGGGGATAATGCTATTTCACTCAGAGGGTGTGTTTAGGCTTCCTTTTGTTTGTGTTATTTATCACCCATTATGTTGCTATAATATGTACTGGAAGGAAGCACTGGACCAATTCTGGATTTGATGGCAACAGCAACAAAGATTTTTTTTTTTTTCAGGGACTAAAGAAGCACTTTTGTTGAATATCGATATCTGGGTTTGTGTTCCACTTGTGGTGTTCGTTATTTGACTAGGTTCTCTATAGCGAACAACCAAAACATGGCCAAGGTATTTTCTCACTTTGTCCCTCCAGTGCATGATGTTTTATTTAGAAGAGATGTGTGGAGGTGCATTTGTACTTTGATTTGCTACAATTGCAAATTCACTGGAGACAGCCCCGTTGTAAAACTGGAGTTGGTGGGGGCAGAATTTGGCTGCATGTCTCCAAGTGCCCAACCAGAACAGGTTCAATCTAGTGCTGCATGCATTGACTAGATACTGTTGGCCAGAAATTTAACTTCGCCCCTCACCCTACCTCATCAATATCAATGTCATTGGTATGTGTATTAAACACTGTGAAGAGCATCTTTGGGTTAAACTTAAAAATCTGTGATAAGTTTCAGAATTTGTCTCAGGTGACCGGGGCTCGCGTTGTAGCACTAAAAACTTTTATGTAGCTGCTTCTACTTTGGCTATGAAGCCAAGCAAGATGGGGTGGGTTTTGAAGCTGGAACATCTGTATTGCTATTTTTAACACCATAGCACGACCCCTGCAAATCTTGTCTGCAGGCTCGGAGACACGCTTCCATGGGTTTGCTGGGTTGTCTTTTGCTTTTGTGGGTTTTTTTTTTTTCCTGTGTAGTAAAACATTCGAGTAAGTTACTTCTAAAACTGGCCCTAAATTGATGATGGTTCCCCCAGAAAAGTCTGATGGTTTCAGGTCTAGAAATGCCAGTTCAGTCCCTGCTCTTGACCCCACCTGGAGCATTGTGATCTCTGAACTCATCCAAAGCCCGCTCTAGGCTGCCTTTTAGAATGGCCTGGGCAGCAAAGTGAAGTGCAAGAAGGAAAGCCCTGTAGCTGCTGGCAAAACCCTGGTGTGTCCCCCTTCTTTCTGCAGGCTGTGCCCCTACAAATCCTTGTGGGGGAGAGGCTGATGGTTGCTCACCCTTTGCTTTGGTTGGTGTTCATGGCAAAGGGCTTGAGAAAAGCAGCGGCTGGTGAAGGTGGCCACACCCGGGGAGCTGGGATACTGCTGAACAACATGAAGGGCTCTCTCTGGGGCACGATTAAAAGACAGGACTCCATTGTAGAGATAGGGCAGCCTACAATACCAGCAGTAAAGGTCGCATGTTGGACCCCCCCCCCCCTACTCATATGGATTTGCAGCTGTCAGGATGGGGGCAGGAGTGCAGGGTAATAGCTCAGGATTGAGGAGGGATTCCTTGACAGGGTTAGAGAGAGGCCGTCAGTGGATCTCAGTCACCTCCAGAATCCATCCATCCAGCACAGAAAAAGCCAGACGCTGTCTCTCAGCTTTGCCTACAATCTGGGTGCTAAGGCCAGTCAATGATCCAGCTGTGGAACCAGCCAAGTGACTTTACATAAGCAGGGGGGAATGTCAGAGAAAGTGTCACCGCCCAAGCGGCTGTTTTTTCCTAGTGGTTTCTGAATCTCCTCCCTCCCAAAGGGTAACTCGGATGCCAGCTTTATAAGTCTGTCCCTCCCTAGCCCCCATGGATGTTTAACGCTGAATAGCAGTAAAAATAACCCACTCAGACTAGACCACGCCTGTTCTGTTTATCTGTGTTCTTTAGGCTCACATGCTCTCTTCTCGCCTTTTCTTATTAAGAAGTGTTTTCTTCCTACAACGAGAGCTGCAAGATAACATGCTGTGCCATGGTGTTTTACAAGTGGTGACATGGGGCAGCTCCACTCCGTTCAATGGGCCGACTGTACAAACAACTGTGTGTTTGCAGGATCAGGGGCCTAATGACTGCATATTTATTGCAAGAGGAGCTGGTGAGAAAAGCGCAAACCAAGTCTTGCAGTCAGCTTCATTCTGGCTCCTTCCTCCACGTTTAATTTGTTGATGATTTCCATTTACCTTAATTATGGTCATTCTTTAGGCGCCTTTCCCTAAGGTGCCCCAAAGCTAATCAACACTGGAAACATGGCCCCTAAGCAAGTGAGAACCTAATTCTAAACTGACCAGCAGACTGACACCTCTGCTGTTAAGGAAAAGTCAGACAGAAGCTGACTTGCACCATGAAGGGATTCTAATGGACCACAGTAAGTATCAGAACCAAGGACCTTGATTTCCCCAAACACCCGAAAGCATCGACAAGCCTGTTCTCGTGGGTCAGCAAAACTGAGCTGAAGATGCCATGAGATCGGGCGAAACATCAGACTTTGGGTTTCTTACCCAAACAGATGGAATCCAACCCGTTGCCAGGCGGAGACCACCCAAGATTCACCACCCTGCTTCTTCGACAGTGGTGTTTGGTTTTGACAGCAGTGACATTTATTCCTGTCTCACAGGTCCTCTTCTCCTTATTTCTAGGTGATGTTGTGGAACTCTATTATGAGGATAATCCCCTTACTAGAGCGACTGACTCTGGAACAGCAACGCTTAAACCTCGCCCAAGAGTCCGACCGCTACTGACCTTCCTACCTCTCGTGAGTATTTTTCATGCTCCTAATTATTTTCCTGAATGTAGGGGTCTAACTGCACAGGCATTACAAGGTCAAAAGAGTTTGCTTTGCCAGACCAGCAAACGGTGTTTAGAGCCAGCTAGATGGGTGCGGTCCCTGGTCTATTTCTCATCCTCTCTGTGCAGGAAAAAGTCAGATGGGAAGCAAAACCACTTTTAATGATCGGTACAGGGAGGGACTGAGAGATGATCTGAGCCTATCCTTTGTCATGGGCATATGCAAACTCTGCAGGCAAGAAGGGGTGAGGTGAGGTAAGTTACATTGGTCTTGATAAACATTGGCATTTCTGGTGCAAATAGGAAGCTGAGAGCGTTGGTAGTAAAACTGGATCAGTTTGCGAGTGCAGTGTTCTGATTTGACTGGTACGCATCACACCTTCTCCTTGGCTCAGTGAGGAGATCCTCCTTAGTGAGGCGAAGTCATGAAGCAGTAGTGGGGAAAGAGAAATGGGCAGAGCTCTAAGCAGGGATGTATAAATGAGCAAAACCCCCTTGAGCTGAATGGAACAAAGGAGCAGTCAATGTCCTAATGCTGGCGTGTCCGTGGTGACATGGGACTGACGAACTTTGCAACAAATTGGTATTTATGGGTCTGTGTGTGGATATCGGTGTCTGTCAGTCCCAAAAGCAAATTCTCCTCTGGGTGTCTGATGGGAGAACTCTCTGTAATTCATAGGGATTAAATTAGTTGGGTTCTGCAGAAATGAATTGTAAAATCCCTAGAGAATCAGACCCTTTCTGCAGATTATGTCCCTGGAGGATGGTTCTAAATGACGCCAAATAAAAATGGTCACTGCACTAATCTATCTGATGTTGGTTTTTATCTGAGTACCTTCCAGCAGTGCATTAAGCAACGTGACTACAGGTCCGTCAGGTGGTGGTGTTTTTCCTCCCGTCCTCTTTCCAGGAGGAGCAGTGAGTGGAGTGCTGCATTCTAGTAGTTGGAGGGTGAATTTTGTTGCTATTATTTAAATATACCAGTTGGTATGTGCTTATATTGGAGAAGGCAGGTCAAAGAAATACATATGGCAGTTGGAGCAGAAAGCTGTTAGTTCCTAGGAGAGTTGATTCCTGCACGCCATGCCCAGGACAGGAGGTGCACACGCAACTCCCACCCTGATGAAAAGCTTGAGTGGTGCATTTAAATCAGCCCAAATTCAGCAAATGCCACTTGAGAAGGAGATGATGCAGAGCCCCCTCCTTGCCTACTTATCACAGGCCGCATTCAGATGGTCACATTGCTTTTGGCCCTCCTCCTTCTTCAAGGTGAGCATGTAGCTCACAAAGCCGAGAGGGAAGAAAGGTCGGTTTACACGTCTGCGTCAGGTTGAATTAACCCCATGGAAATAGCTTGTGTATTTGTTTTATTTCCCCGTGGAGCAAGCGACATACCTGCTCTCAACTCTGCCACAGCTGCTTAACATCAAAGATAGGGAGGGCACCAAAAACAAAGGAGAGGCTGCTGCTGTTATGCTGGCGTCTTGGAGCTTTTCCACCATGGGCGCGGCTGAGCGCTTTTCCCTGGGAGCTCTTGTGCTGTCTGCTCTCGGTGCATCAGTTTTGCTTGTCTGCACTACTAGGCGGTTCTCGCATGCCTTGACATAATCACCAGACAGGGGGCCCTTTCTACGAGCTCTTGGGGGCAGGGCTTCTCAGACAGGATTATCAGCACGTGCATAGCAACTGGACGCGGGCGCTGGAAGTTTGGAGGTACAGTTATCAGGGCTAGCTAGCGGGATTCCCCGAAGAATCTCTCTACCTCCAGAATCTGAAGCGGGAGAGCTCTCCTGGCTAATTCAGAAAAACATCTCCATTTGTACTGAACATTGAATATATTTTTCACCACATGGCGAGCCTTCCCCAGGCCCCAGTTTCATTAGTAGTATACAGTGGGGCACAACTGCCTAGGTCAGGGGTGGGTAAATACCCCTGGGAGTGGCAGTCCGCAGCCAATGGGAGCTGCTATTGCCCGTACCTGCAGATAAATATAGTGGCAGTGGCCTACCAGGGGCTAACCATGGTGAATGACCAATGTACCATTGCCCATCCCTGGAGGTGTATTATGGAGATGGGGTGAACTATGGAGATGGGGTGTATTATGGAGATGGCTGAACTGCATGTAACATGCCAGACACGGGTCATGGCTAGAGGTTAGGCTATTGTCTTTACCAGATACTGGTCTGGTCATGCAAATCCAGTGTTCTTAGTCCTAAAGAGTGACACACTGAGAGAGAGAATGAGCCAGATTCGGTTGCTCCTTGTGCATCATCCGCATAGCAGTTGACTGCATTTTAAGTCGGTTATTACCCCTGTGCATGGACTCAGTTGCACAAACGTTAGTGGGGTTGCACAGATGCTGTTCTGGAGAGTGAGACAATGGAGCTACAGAGGCGTCATTAAAGGAACAATTAGTAGACTGTGGGATTACACAGGCGGTGTTGCAGGCATAATGAGGAGGCAATGGAGCTGCACAGGTGTCACTGAGGGCGTGGGGAGCCGCAGAGCTTTCCTTGAGGCTGACAGCACCAGAGAGAACCTTGCTTGACTGGCAGAGCTCAGTTGGAGTTTGCAGGGCTGGCTTTTAGTTACAAATTGAATCTTCAATGGAATCTAAGAGAAGGAAAAAGCAAAAGAACCATGTGCAGATAATTTTACAGAGGAGATACATGCTTGTGGTACAGCTGGCCTTCTGCTTTTGTTTGAAATGGGCCACTAGGGGAAGAAAACCAGGCCAGAGGGAATAAATAGGTCCCTGCAGCACAGATGTCCTTTGGAATAAACATGCAGAACCAGTCTCCTCTGCTTCAGCAATGACACCTTCTCGCCCGCTCCTGAGGCTGACCTTTCTGGTGCACTGTTGGGCTACAGGATGGGAGCCCTCTGACTCCAAGCTTACATTGCCCCTCATCCTCCAGCAAATGTTGTTTGTTGCTGCCCTTTCTCCCTTCCTCCCCCATAGTGATTCCTGACTTCTCTGTGCTCTCAGATTTCCCTTTTTAATAATAAAAGGCTAACTCTAAAGGGAGAAGCCAAAGGACTGAGTCACTGAGAAGGCTAAAAAGACATACAGCCCAATTTGCCTTTGTAGGCGGTGAAAACCTGCCCTGTAAGCCCTTCAAGTAGCGTCCCTCCCTCCCTGACATGAGAGAAATGCAAGCTTTCCTGCCTATTGAATATCAGCTGCTACACTTGCCTACATTCCCCCTACGCACACACCTGGCAAAACAGGATGGAGGTACTTTCTGGCCCAAGTGTTTCTACAGCTGGGAGGCCTTATGGGTGCACTCGGGGGGATGGAGGTTAATGAAGTTATCCTCCAAAAATGGGGGGTTTAGTGACTGACATTTTTGCAGAAGAACTTGGGCTTTTGGTATTGCGAGGGAAAATGTCTCTCTTTTTTCCTATTCTTTTCCAGTCGGAGCACTGGGGAGATTTAAAATAAGAGGGAGAGTAAGGGGTTTCCCCTCTAATGTAGAGAAAAATTGTTGCATAATTTTTAAATGAAAAATGTAATTTAAACTTACATTTTAAGTGGGTGTTAAGTTTTTTCTTTGCATAATAACCTTGCCTTTCTTCTCCCCCATGCCCAGCTGTGACATAAAATGAACAGAGCTGAGACCCACTCTTCTTCCCCTGAGGCCTTGCTTTGACACGCCTCACAAAAGCAATTTACTAGTTTACAGCCCCCTCTTTGAACATGGCCACCTTTCTGCTTTGATTGGCTGACGTATATACAATCTTGAGTCAACATTGAAAGTGGCCTAGGGTTTGTGTACACCTTGCCCTGGACTTGTGCCCAGCTCTCGTCAATGTTTTTTGGCTTGACGGGTTTTTTTTCTCCCCTTCTCTCCCCCTCCGCCCCAAGACTAACTTCCTGCCCACATAAACCTGTATGGCATTGAGCAGTGGCCTTGCTACCAGGCGCAATGTTTTCCAGGAGATACATTAACGAGAGGGCACTTGCAACTGTTGTACTCTTGGGAGCAGTACCCCTCTTTTCAGTGTTCGGCCGCCTACGCTTTGCAGAACTGCCTCCCTTCTCAGTGCCGGTGCAAGGTGCCACCTGGAAGCAGCCCTGAGACAAAGCCCACTAGCTAACCAGCAAGGAGGAGCAGCAGTGGAATGCGAAGGGCAAGCTTTCCTGGCTGTGCCTCCCCCCGACTCAGAGAAGGCACCTTGAGGGATTAAGGGAGAGCTTATTTTCCTCGGTCCAGTCAGCCCTCAGCCTCTCTGAGATGTTCGGTGGTCTTTTGCTGTGGACGCTTGCCACTGGGCACCAAAACCAACCTCATTCCAAATGAAGGAACTTGTAGATCCTTGTGATAGGAGATTGTGTGGACAGGCAAAATCAAGTCAGGCAGGGCTCTCTATAGCATGTGGAGGGCGATAGGCTGTATCTGATTCCATCAGAGAGGCGTGTTTTCATGTGACAATGAATGCTCATTCCAAGCAAGGTGCTCCGTGCCCGGAAAACCTCCTTCCACAAACCTGAAATGCTGGTTCTCAACACATCATCCGAGAAAGTGGAAGCGCCTCACCGTGAGTCAGAGGGAGGCTGAGTCAGGCTCATCATGTGTGTAGCAAACACCATACAGTTGCTATGGCCGGCCTCGTCATGACAGGCCACTGTCTTCCTCCGCTTTTGAAAGGCAAGCTTGTGCCATTGTGGGGGCCAGTTTTGAGAGTGGCACAGAGCACCCACAACTCCAGAAGAATTCCCTGGAGGCAGCAGATGCTCAGCCAGGACCTTTATGTAGCTCATTTTTAACACCTCAAAAAAATTAGACCCCCTACAATTAGTGGACAGTTGAAAATACAGGTCGTCTTGTTCGTTTCCATAGGGGCGTGTCCCCGTAATCGAACATGTGACGCATGCACCCCTCAGAATACAGGGGCAAACAAATGCTTAGAAATCACTCTGTTTCCTTGTCAACAAGCTACTATTTGCATTGCACTCAGGGCCAG